CATTGCCGGTAGCCAGCATTCTGATGAGGTAGGAGGCTCTCTGCTCCCGTCCCTTGGAACAGAGCTGCAGATGATGAAACATCTCATTATGGTCTTGAGTTTGCTCATCAGCCGTGGGGTCCCCCACACCTCACCATGCAGCCGGCCTCCCCTTTGGTGGTTGTGTCATCCCTTTGGGTGTGTGGGACAAGGACCACGGGGACCTGGAACCTTTGGCCATGCTGCCTGTTGCTGTCTCCGTAAATGATAACCTCTGAACCGAGGAGTGGCTCGTGGTCCCTTTGTGCGAGGAATTCGTCAGCCTTGCGGTGGGTTTCAGGCCTTGCAGGCCCCGTAGTAGCTCCTCCTTCAATTGTGTGATGGGGCCGAAGACTCTGGCCCCTCCTGTCTTCCCCCACCTTCACCGCCCTGCTATCTGTCCTGGGAGGTGGCTGCTGGCCCTGTGGAAATGTCAACCTTCAGGCCTCCATTGAGTTCAGTTGGTGTGGAAGGTGCTAGCAGGAGCTCCCCCCACCCCTCCACCCAACTCTGGGGCAGGAGAAGGAGTTTGAGGTACTTATTTTTCTTGTTTCCGCCTACCGGGCCTTGGGCTGGCAGATGTCCTGTACCGAAGCCTCCTGCCAGGAGGGCCTCTCCTGTTGCTGCTGTCCTTCATCCCTCCAGGTCCAGGCACAGTCTGGGTGCTTCTGGGAGGCCCAAATACTGTGCCACCTCTCACCGGTTCTCTAGCGTTGCCCAGGCTTGTATACCTAGCCCTGGCTCAGCGTTCCCGCCATGCCTCTGTTTGAGGGCGCCTCTCTCACCCCTGCCAGATGATGCCCGCACCCACTTAATGCATTTAAGACATTCCTTTGGTTTTGATCGGCTGGATGGAGTTACATCTGCGGCTTCCGGCCCAATGCTCAAGTGATTTCCATCCAATGTGGAGAGGAACGAGCAGTTAATTCGGCACGGAAACCAACGGGTGGGGGATATGGGCAGAGAGAGAAGCGCTGCGGTCACGACTTTGAGGCCATCTCTGGCTTCCCTGTTGTCAAAAGGCAGGGCTCGGGCCAACTGCCATGCTTCACCCCTCTTGACCTGACCTGCTCTCACACCAGCTGTCCCTCGCACGGCACTCTGCCTCTCTGCCAGGCTTAATAGCTCATTGTAATGGCACACTTAACTCACAGAGAGGGGGGCTTATTAGGGAAGTTCATTAGGTTACCACGTCACGGTCAGTAAATAGTAAGGATGCTTCACGGGGTTACCTGTCCTCAGCCAGCAGCCATGTTTCTCTCCGGTCCTATCTCTCCACCACGTGGTCCCTTGGCCTCTGCCTCTGTGGACCAGGAAGCCTGCCTGTTCCTCTGTTCTTACAGCCCCGCAGTCTCCGTGCTGCTCCTCCGCTCTGTCTCTTGGTCTCTGTGCTGCAGTCCCCGGTGCCTCTGGTCTCCAATGCGATCTTCTTCTCTTAGCACTGCGCGCTCTGCACCGGCTACGAAGAGAGAGCATCCTGACAGCCAGGGCCGTGGCAACTAAAGCCGACCAATCCCTCGCTTCGCTTCGTGTTACACACCTTGTTTGCAAAGCCCCGCCCAACCCTTCCCGTTTGAAAGGCAGACTGGCCGGCGCTACTTGAGGACAGGTCGGTCAGGCGTGTCTTGCATAGTTTGGACATGTTGCCAGGAGAGCCAGTCCCTGGAGAAGGATATCCTGCTTGGTACAGTGG